CAGGGGCTTAGGATTTCTCTTTTTTTCCTTTTGAACTGTTCATTTTGTATTGGGGTATAGCCACTTAACAATGTTGCCATAGTTTCAGTGAACAGGGAGCAACCTTGTGTGCATATGCATGTATCCATTCTCCCCCAAACTCCCCTCCCATCCAGGCTGCCACCTAACATTGAGCAGAGTCCTCTGTGCTATACAGTAGGTCCTTGTTGGTGATCCATTTTAAATAGAGCAGCATGTACATGACCATCCCCAACTCCCTAACTATCCCTTCTGGGGGTTGGGATTTAATATGTGTGTTTTGGAGGGACACACACATTCAGTCCATGGCTGGGCTTGGGGCACCCCTTCGTGCCATCACAGGCACGCTCCTCCTGCCTCCTCCCTGCTGCAGTCCAGCATGATGCTGGCCAGTTTCTTTCTCTTCTGGAGAATCAGGATTGTCTTGTTAGTACTGTGTCCCCAGCACTAGCCGAGTAAGTAATAGATGGTTGGCTGGTGACTAACAGTGTAAGCAGTGCAGTTACAGGGACGCTTGCTGCCTCTTTCCTGAGCTGACTAATGGTTTGGAAAACGTAGATTCATCCATTTTGTAGATTCATCAATTCATCAACTTTGATATAAAGTAGGGAGAATGACAGACTCAGAACTGGAAGATTCAAAGATTTAAAATGCCTCAGGCTGGGGCTTCCCTGGTGGCTCAGTGGTAAAGAATCTGCCTGCCAACGAAGGCAATGTGGGTCTGACCCCTGATCTTAGACAATACCACGTGCCGCAGAGCAGCTGAGCCTGGACGCTGCAGCTATTAAGCCTGTGACATCACTTTGCCAGCAAAGGCCCATCTGGTCAAAGCTATGGTTTTCCAGTAGTCATGTACGGATGTGAGAGCTGAGCGCCAGAGAACTGATGCTTTTGAACTGTGGTGTTGGAGAAGACTCTTGACTCTTGAGAGTCTCTTGGACAGCAAGGAGATCCAACTGGTCCATCCTAAAGGAAATCGGTCCTGATTATTCACTGGAAGGACTGATGCTGAAGCTGAAACTCCAATACTTTGGCCACCTGATGCGAAGAGCTGACTCGTTTGAAAAGACCCTCATGCTGGGAAAGATTGAAGGTGGGAGGAGAAGGGGATGAGATGGTTGGATGGCATCACCGACTCAATGGACATGAGTCTGAGTAAACTCTGGGAGTTGGTGATGGACAGGGAGGCCTGGCGTGCTGCAGTCCATGGGGTTGCAAAGAGTCGGACATGACCGAGCAACTGGACTGACTGAAGCCTGGAAGCCACAACTACTACAGCCCAGAGGCCCTAGAGCTGGTGCTCTGCACAAGAGAAGCCGCCACAGGGAGAAGCCTGTGCCTCAAACTAGAGAAGTAGCCCTTGCTCTCTGCAACTGGAGAAGGTCCATGAGCAGTAGCAAAGATCCAGCCCAGCCAGAAATCAAATGAAATGCCACAGGCTGAGACCAACAAGGTAAGGTTCCAGAGAGAGATTTTAAATTCAACAGGTCGGTTCATGTTGTGCAGTGGTTCTCAAAGTGTGGCCCTGACCGATGTCAGGAAAAGAAAATCAAAACAAAATCTCTCGTCAACCTAGAAAACCTCTTCAGAAAGATAGACGAGAAAGAAAATGGTTTTGTTTTGAATAAGCATTAAACCAGAAAGTGATGTGAATCACAAAAAAGCCACTAAACAGATAGCAATGACATCAAGAAATCGCACTCATTTAGGTAGCCAGGAAAATGAAACCCATTACCTCCATGTTTTCAAGATAAAGGGTAACTGATGCTCAAGTGAGAGGACTAACTACCTTCATATGAAGGAAAAATTAATTTCTTCTTCCTTTACGACAGAAGGCATTTGGGGACAGGTACCTGCTGAAATTGGGCTTCCCAGGTGGCACTAGGGGTAAAGAATTGACACTTTTGAACTGTGGTGTTGGAGAAGACTCTTGAGAGTCCCTTGGACTGCAAGAAGATCCAACCAGTCCAGGGAGGCCTGGTGTGCTGCAGTCCATGGATTGCAAAGAATCAGACACGACTGAGCAACTGAACTGAACTGAAGGGGTAAAGAACTCACCTGCCAATGCAGAAGACCTGAGATACAGGTTTGATCTATGGATTGGGAAGATCCCCTGGAGGAGGGCATGGCAACCCACTCCAGCATTTTTGCCTGGAGAATCCCATGGACACAGGAGCCTCATGGGCTAGGGTCCACAGGGACACACAGACACACACAGAGAAACCGCCCCCTGCCCTCCCCCAACCCCGGCTAGAATTAGGCTTCTAGACTCCCAGGAAAACTGGGAGAGAGGTGAGCTATTACTGCTTTCTTGATGGTTACATTCCATGTGCTGGCTCCCGGGCCCCTTTCAAAGAGAAAATTCCTGTGTTGTAAACTGGGCAAGGGGCTTACTCAGCCTTTACAAAGACCTACATACATTTCAAAAGGCAGAGAAAGAGGCCACAAGGGCAAGTTTTCTAGTTAATGACCTTTTTCTTTGCACCATGGAGCATTTGATATTCTTGTTACTTCTAATTTCTTTTACCCTCACACCAATAGCATCACTATCACCTAGGAACTAGAAGTCAGAAATGCAAATTCTCGGATCCCACCCCAGACCCACTCAGAAACTCTGGAGATAGGGCCAGGCAGCGTGTGCTGCCTAATAAGTCCCTCAGGAGGGGCTGATATTCCCAAAGCTTGAAAATCACTGCAGACAACTGTTGACAGCAGGCCACTTGACAAGGATCTAGGAAAGATGAAGGATTTCACTGACCTTGAATAGTTATCTGTAGTTTGCCTCACATAGGTAGTCACTGCTCTGCTGGTCCATGACCTTCAATTAGTTGGCAGGAAATGAAGATGTCTAAAATAAACCTATTAGATGAGACTTAGCTTAGGCAAGCCGGTCCAATTGTAACAACCTGCGTGACACAGACTTAAAAGCAGCATTATGCAAAATGATGCTCGTCTGCTCTAGGTGCATTCTCTAGTTGAATAGATGAAAAGTTGCCTGATTTTCTGGAAAATTATAAAATGCCCAATAAAGCCATATAAACCAAACTCAAAAGAAAATAACACACTTGTGCACTGGCCCCCACCCTGACATGAACCCTTAAGTTCACCTGACTTTTAAAAATTATTTATTTATGGCTGCACTGGGTCTTCATTGCTGCCTGCTGGCTCTCTCTGGTTGCAGTGAGCAGGGGCTACTTTCGAGTCGCAGTGCATGGGCTTCTCATCGCAGTGGCTTCTTGTCGCAGAGCATGAGCTCTAGGGTGAGCGGGCTCAGTGGTTGTGACACATGGGCTTAGCTGCTCCGCATCGCGTGAGATCTTCTCAGACCAAGGATCAAACCCATGTCTCCTGCATTGGCCTGTGGGTTCTTTACCACTGAGCCACCAGGGAAGCCCAATTTTACTATTTTTTAAAATTTACTTTATTGTGGTTGATTTACAGTAATTGTATTGTAGTGTACAATTGTACAGTTTGTGTTAATTTGTTCAGTATAGCAAAGTGACCATTTTCATATAATTTTCCATTGTGGTTTATCACAAGATACTGAATACATTAATAGTTCCTTGTGCTGTACAGTAGAACCTTGTTGTTTATCCATTCCCTATACACCAGTTTGCATCTACTAATCCCGAACTCCCAATCCTTCCCTCCCCAACTCACCCCCCACAACACCTTGGCAACAAGTCTGTTCCCCGTGTCTGAATCTTCCGTAGATATGTTCATTTGTGTTGTATTTTAATTGCCATAACCTGTCTTTAACCAAATCACGCAAAAATATAACCAGAGGTTTTTACTACAGTCCTTATGTATGTAAATGGTTCACCAAGGTGGCAAGAGATGAGTTTTTCTTAATACAAACTATCTTAACTAGGAATTTAAGCTATTTCAGTGAGACTGTACTGACCACCGGAATGACAAAATTCATGGACATTTAAGGGAAGGTAGTACAGACTTTGATCCCTAAAGGATTTCAAGAACTCCTTTCTTTAAAAGGAGGGCTCTGATCTTTCTTTTTCTTCCCCTTATTTGGCTCCGTAAGAGAAATCTGAACTAAACTGTAATGATCAAGTTATGCCTTTAATAACAGAAGAAAAACTGAGGCCAAAGCTATCAAGTAATTTACATAATGAGGGAGCCAAGTCATCTAACATAGGAGAATCAAGTGGCTACAGCTTAAAGAATGCATGCCCCCCAACCCCCCATCCTTTTTGCGATTAGTTGCACCCATCTTGAAAAAATACCATCTTTGCTCATTAAGAAGCAAACATAAAAATTACTCAAGTTGACTCTTCTGTCTCCTTGTAAGATGCACATGTTTTTAACACCTACTTAATTTTTTAAATTTACTTTTAATTGGAGAATGATTGTTTTACAGTATTGTGTTGGCTTCCAGTCATATTAACATGTATTTCAAAACCATGAGGTGAAAAGTAAAAAAAGGCCATAAAACAAGAATCCAATATGCCATTCTTTACACACGACATCAGAACATGCACTTAGAATTTTTTTTCACAACTGTGTTCCTGTGGAGATACACTTGGTCTTACTCATCTGCATCTCCTGTAACCCCAAGTACGTAAGATACATATTTACATTTTAAAAGGAAGTACTTTTCAAATGTATTGTCCAGCGCCTGGACTTCTCCGACTAAAAGGCACAATCTCTGAAACTGTTGTGGTTTCAGAACAGAAACAAAGTATGTGGAAAACAGATTCCTAGGGTACAGGGTCAATATTTGGCCGCCAGGCACGCGAACCCTGGCATTCTCAGGGTTTCAGCTCTCCATCGTTGTCCCCGGGGGTGTGACAAGCTCGGACACTTCCTAGGTGGCCCAGATCGTCCAGGCCGGTCTGCAGCAGCCTTCGCAGACTCGGAAGGTCTCGGAAAAAGCCACGGGGCAGGCGGGCGGGCATGCCTGGGACAGCAGGTCTGCCTTCTTGCACAGCAGCCGCCGAACTTGCCCCATGAGCGCGCCTTTATCCTTACGCAGCGCGTGGTTCAGGCCCAGGACGTCCTGCATCAGGACCGCCAACGGCCTCCATCACCGCCCGCCCAGTTCCCCCCGTGCCGCCGCGCCGCCGCCGGAAGTGCGTGTCGCTCGGGGGCGGGTCACGGCGGCGGCGCGTCTGGCCTCCGCGGTCCAGGCCGGGCCAAGGCCCGAGCAAGCGCCCGTGGGCAGGGTCGCCAGCATTATTGGCCGCAGAAGCGGCGAGCCGAGAGTCCTGGCGCCGGAGGGTGGCGGGGAAGGGAGGAAACCTAGGGTAGATTGGCGGCCGAGACGCGGGACCTGACGCCGCGCTCGGCGGAGGAATCTGACTCCGTGGCAGCGTGCAGCGACTTCCGGGAGCTCCCTCCGCGGGCAGGTGCTTAAAGGGGAAGCCGCGCATCCGTGGGAGGCTGCGGGTTCGCCGGCCCCTGTCGAAGTACCACGCGGTCTTCCAAGTTTTTTGAAGTTCCACATTCCTGGATGTTAACATGTTACGCCCAAGACCTCACAGCCAGGAGGAGGCAGTTCTAATAACCACCCCCCCCCCCACCCCTGCTTGCAGAATAGGCCGTCCCTTGGGGCTTCCAACCTGCCAGGAGGCTTCCAGCCTCCCAGGTGCCTGACGCCTTAGCCTATCGCATCCTAGCTTCCCGGCTCTATGAAGCATTTGCTGGTTCTTGGTAGGTTTGTGTTTTTGTTTTCCTGAGGACACAAGTAACTCAGAGTTGACACACTTTCTGGCTATAAAATCGGGTGGGTCGTTGGCGGAAGCTTCCCGAGTGCTAGGTGTTTGAAGATGAGCTTGAACTTCAGGTGGCCTAGGGTCTGTATATTGGAAGGGACCATGTCGAGATAAAGCCGTCTCTGTATGAATGAAAGGAACACGTTCCATCTGGTTCATTTTAGCCAGTTTTCTGTACCTTCCTGAGTCAGTTTTGGTGATTTGTGTGTTTCTAGGACATTTTTCAATTTTATTTAATTTATTGGTGAACAATTATTCATGGCATTCTTTTTATGTAAAGTTGGTTGCAGTGTCATTTTCGTTTCTGATTTTAGTTATTTACATCTTTTTTTCCCTCAGTCTAGCTAAAGTTTGTCAATTTTGTTGATTTTTTTCCCCCTAAGAACAAGACATTTGATTTCATGGAATCTATTGTTTTTCTGTTATCTATTTCTTTTATTTCTGTTTTAATCTTTATTATTTACTTCCTTCAACTAGTTTTGGGTTTAATTTGCGCTTCTTTATCAGATTTCTTAAAGTGTGTTATGGACCTAATTGGGTCCCTTCAAAATTCATATATTGAAGTTCTAATTCTCAGTGTGACTGTATTTGAAAATAAGGCATTTAGGGAGGCACTTAAAGTTAAAAGAGGTCAGAAGGGTGGTTTTGTTTTTCTGAAGAACCCTGACTAATACATTCTTCTTTTAGTCATTTATAATTCTTCTTTAATCAAGGGTACATTCGTGGATATACTCTATAGGAAAATATCTTTCAAGTGTATTTCCTACCAAAATAAAAGTACTTTTTACAAACAAGAACCAGGCCCATGAATTTGTGTGTGTGTGTATGTGTGGTTCTATGCAGTCTCAAGATGTATTAAAAGGTTTGAAAATATATCGAATGATGGTACACACCTACTTTTGGACAGGGTTCTGTGTGTGTGTGTGGTGTCCAGTTTTTTGCAGCCCCATGAACTGTAGCCCACCAGACTCCTCTTTCCATGGAGTTTTCTAGGCAAGAATACTGGAGTGAGTTGCCATTGTCTACTCCAGGGGATGTTCCCAACCCAGGGGTTGAACCCGCATCACTTAAGTCCCCCGCATTGGCAGGAGGATTCTTTACCACTAGCACCACCTGGTGAGATGTAAAGTTAAAAGCTCAGGCAGAAATTCTCTGGGAAAACTTCAGTGTTTGCGCTTAAGGTCTTCAACTGATTGAGTGGGGCCCACCCAAGTCATGGAGAGTAACTGCTCACTTTAAGGTCAATAATTCTAAATGTCAGTCACATCCAAAAAAAAAAAAAAAAACCACCTTCAGAGCAACATGTAGATCAATCTTTGACCAAACAATTAGTCACCATCATCTTGCCAGGTTGACACATAAAATCAGCTACATGTACATTTAGTCATTTTAGAATAAACGTTGAAGACATTCAAAGAAGTGGCCTAGGCAAACGTGGGCATTTGTAGGAGAACTCATCTCAAAGTTGTTTTTTATTTGACTCACAAATCTTTTAGAAAAGAAGTGATATCAGGAATATTTCAAAGCAGTTAACTTCCTTTAGGCAAGTAAATGCAGAATCATGTCCCTGTCTGGGTGGGGTTACTCAGAATATATTTCAAACTGCTAAAAGAAGTTATAACAAAGGACAGTGTGACCAGCAAATAAATGGTTGTTTTTATTTCCAGCATGTACCTTTATCACTTGTTCACTCTCTTTGGACCATCGTTTACAGTGACTCAAAGTGTGAGTCAGGAAGTGAGCTGTCCCCTGATAGCACATTAAAAAGACTTGTGAGACTCATAAACTACACAGGCTTGATGAATGGATCATGTATGGAATTGAAATAGCATTTTAAATGGTTATATTTCTCTGGCAGATATCCTCAGGAGACAGTCTTCCTGCCTCCTGGAATGAATGTGCTTTGCTTTGATGTGGGCGCCATACTAAGGTAACAGTCTGTCTTGATCATTTGTCAGTGCGTCTGGAGCCCCAGCTATAGGCATCAATCTTTACAGATTTGTAGGGGAATCAGATGAGTAATGCATGTGCAAGCATTTTGGAAGCAATCAAAAATTAGAATGTTGAATGATACATGTAAGACAGTGTCTTTACCAACGAGATTGTAAATGTCAGAGGATTTATCAGAGGCCATTTGTTGGTTGCAGAGCTGTATACAGTGTTTAAATGAATTTTGGCATTTTGGGTGGGAAGGATGGTTTAATTGAATTTTCGGAGCTTTCAGTGTGGGAAACAAAGCATTAAAGAATTCTTTGAACTCTAGATTTTAATCACGGAGGCAATAATATGGCTCCTGTGACTCTCAGTTTAACAAGGTTAAGTGGTCCTTTAAAGGACAGAATTCTAAGACCAGCTATTTGGGTTTATTGTAAAAAATACCAATCATGAAAAATTTTGAGAAAATGTTCTCTTACCTTCTGACCCCTCTTTTTAATGCATTCATGGAAATGCTGATACTCTCCATCCTGGGTCTTTGTCTTTTCCTCCTCTGCACCCTCTCTGTTATTAAAATCAGGACGAGACTACACTCCTCTTTATTCCAAAACTTCCAGATCTTTTCCTCCAGCTCTCTTCTCACTTCTGGACCACTATTCTCAACTGCTTCTGTGTGTCAAAAGGATCAAATGAAACCTAAGTTGAAATCCTTATCTCTGCATCAGCTTCTGTTGCAGAATCTCTAACTGGGCTAATAGCATCACTGTTGTGTTAGTTGACCTTAGCTGCTGAGTAAATTCCAAAATTTTAGTGGCTTACCCAAATAGATGTTTATTTCTTACTCATGCAAAGTCCAGTCAGTGCAGAGAAGGTGTGAGCCTTGTTTCCAGGGACCCAGGCTCAGAACAGCTCTTCTTTCATCCCTGGTGTGCGCTGATGTCCAGCTGATGGGGGAGAGAACAGAGGATGGACCAGAAGTGGTGCTCATCCTTGGCACTCATTCCTTTGACCCCAAATCAGTCACCTTGTCATGCCTGACTGCAGGGGAGACTGGGTTAGGTCATCTGCTCAGTGAGGGCTTACCTGATCACTACTATTTAAAATATCCAACAACACTCGCTCCCTATTCCCTTCTCCCACTTAATTTTTCTCCACAGCAACCATTCATCCTGGTGAAAAATTCCTGTTTCTATACGTTTGTGCTTTTGTTCCTCCCTCCCCAACAAGAATGTAAGTGTAATGAGGAGAGGAGCCTTGTCAGCTTGGTTCCCTGTCTTATTATCAGGGACTCTGCTCGACCTGTAAAAGTCTCAGTGTTTGTTAAAAGTGAGAATTAATGAATCCAAGTGCATATATAGTGAATAGGCAAGTCGGTCTGTAAGTCTGGAGCTTGGAGGAGAGGTCTTCACTGGGGCAATGCATTTGGGACTCATTGGCATAGAGGTGGGTTGACCATGTATCCAAGTTGGCCCTGAACAGTCTGTGCATAATTGCTAGTAGTACCCCGCCTTTACTCTTAAAAATGCTCTGTTTTGAATGATCAATTGTAGAATTCTAAACATTCGTGATAAATAAAACCATAGAACTGGATGGGGTTCCCTAGAGAAAGCCTGTAAAGTAAAAACAGAAGAGGATCCAGGAGGAACTTAGGTTCCCTAACTTTTAAAGCCTCAGAGAGGAGGGAGGAGTCAGAGAAGGAAGGAAAATCACAGAATCACAAAGCCAAGAAAAAAGAGTGGTTCCAAGAGGAAAGTGAGAGACTGATCAAGTCAAAGTCTACTGAGAGCTGGAGTTAAGATGAGGACTGAGAGAGGTGCTCAGAAGTCAGGGAAGACCTCGGCAATAGAGCTCATGGTGGAGTGATTAGGGCAGAAGCCAGACTGATGCAATGGAGAGAGAAGAGATAAAGAAATGAAGACAGCAAGTTGTAGAAAATCCAATTAGTTTGGTTGTGAACATAAGAGAATGGGCAAAAATTCTGGATCACCCATTTAGCAGATTGAGTGTGTTCTCAAGGCAAAGCTCATGGCAAAACAAATATGCAAGAATTTAGTGCTTGACAATTTGAAACAATGAACTAAAGGAGTCGTTGCCAACAGCTCATGGTTCTGCTGGGCCTTCCGTTCGTTGTTCTAATGTTGACTTTACACGTGGGAGAGGGTGCCTGAGTGCTCAGTCCACTGAGCAATCTGGTCTGGCCCTGAATGTGGTCACAAGTGAAGGTGGGAGTGGCCTTGTTTTTGTTGGAAGAGATTTGAGCTGAAATGTTGCTGGGCAGGATCCAGGTGAGAGGGACCAGCATAGCACACAGGAGAGGGCAGAGAGGATGGATGGTGGCCTTTCACCTGGGCAGGTGGGAGGACGATGGGAAGAGTGGCCGGAGGTGGGTCGAAGGGTACGGACCGGCTGTATCTGGAGGAGGATCTGGGCTCGTGTACAGCTGGGTTTGTCCAGGTAAACATGGGAGGAGAGGGCACTGTGGCCTGAGGTCTTAAGTGTCCCTGAGATGGAGGAAAGACCACCTGTATGTGCAGGAGGTGTCTGTCTGTGGTTTAGAGCAGGTAGAAGGGTGAGAAAATCACCGACCAAGGAAACAACGTCAAGGGTGCTTTTGAGGTTGGTGATCATGAATCATCGGCCGACATGTCTTCAGTTACCCAGGTGATTACAGGAAATCACAGGCTTTTTCTGTGATTTCCAAAACCACCGAGAGAGAAGTATTT